AAGAATTCTTCCAACAGGAAAATATAGTTCCTCATTCTAGGCTTAAAATTTTTTCCCCAGAAAACAAGCAGTTAGTGACATGTCAATAAAACTCATTTATAAACAAACACCTACACATTAATATTTTATGTGAAGTTCCATACCCTTTATATTCTGAAAGGAAAATATATAATTCACTGCCATTAGCTTTTCTTCCTCTTGGCAGTTTCCTGCTGGCTACTGTCACTGCTATGAAAATGCAGTAATAGTGACTATCCTTCTGCAGGGTTTACTTCCATTAAACTTTTAATTTTCAGATTGTAGATTCACGTGCCATTGTGAGAAGTAAAATAGATCATGTGTAACCGTTTCGCACTTTACTGACATGATAACATCTTGCAAAACTGTGGGACAGTATCACAACCAGAAAATTGACATTGCCACAGTCCACTGGTTTTTATTCAGATTTCTGAAGTTTTACATGCACTCGTTGGTGTGTGTTGTGTGTATTCTTAGTTCTGTGTAACTTTATCACATGTGTAGATTCACCACCACCAAGATACAGGACATTCCCATCACCACAAAAGTCCCTCCTGTTGTATAAAGGTTATTTTTAGCCATTGGCTTATTCTCTTGTAGATAAAAAGTAATTTATTTTAGATTTTTTAAAAAATTTCTACACTAATCCAAATAAAATCTTTCTAATTGTAAAGAATTATGCTAGAGAAGCGCCTGGGTGGCTCAGTGGGTCAAGCCTCTGCCTTTGGCTCAGGTTGTGATCTCGGGGTCCTGGGATCGAGCCCCACACCGGGCTCTCTGCTCAGCAGGGAGCCTGCTTCCCCCTCCCCCTCTGCCTTCCTCTCTGCCTATCTCTCTCTCTCTGTCAATAAATAAATAAAATCTTTTAAAAATAAAATAAAGAATTATGCTAGAACTGGGCTTTTTATTTGTTTGTTATGAATGCAGTAAATTGTGACAGGTAGCCGCTGCCCAGAATTCTAAGTCTGGGGGAACAAGAGAATTCTAAGTCTGAGTTAGTGTTTATTATATTTTAAGCATTCAGTAATGCAACAAGAATCGGATTTATGGATCATTTTCTTCTTAAATCTTTTTAAATCACCCTTAAGAAGTCTCTAAGGGTGAGTTAGTTGAACATGGTTATCAAAAACTTAAAATGAAAATAAAGTCATGCCTGTATTCTGTAGGTACATAAAGACTAAAAGAGAGACCAATATTGACGAGACTTACCTTTCAGCTGTTCAAAATTTTTACATGGAAGAATGAAAACCTTCCCCCAAAGATCGGTAACAAGATGGGCATGCCCATTTTCACCACTAGTACTCAACAGTTTACAGGAAATTCTAATCAGAGCAATTAGAAGGAGGGAGGGAAGGGAAGAAGAAAGAAAACAAAAGAAAAACAAAAGAAAACTATCTCTATTTGCAGACAACATGGTGCTATATATAGAAAATTCCAAAGAATGCACAATGACTGTGTTCCTTATTATGTAACTCTGAATAATTAATTTGTTTCAGTTTCCATATCTGTAAAATGGTATAGATAATGTTTATCACAGAGCGTTATTTTAAAGATTAAGATAGAGCTTGTAAAGTAGCGAGTACCATGCTTTGACTTTGGAAAGAGTTCAGAAAAAAACTTAGCAATGTATTTCATCGTCACAATCCAGCTATTATCATTCAAAATAATCAGTTTAGATAAAAAATTAGGTAAGTAGAGGTTCTGTGACCAATTTACCTTTTTCTCTATAAGACATAATATTAAGAGGACAAACAAAACCCTGAGGATTTTGTCCCTGTAATGTACATAACTTTGCATAACTTTCAGGTTTCTTGAGATTATATACAAATACATCTCTTATAGGTAGTGACTTTGATGTAAATTATTAGAAATGGAATTAACTAAGAGTTTATTGTAGCCTTTGAGAGAATATAATACCAACAGAGTAGTAAGGCAAAAATCTGAACATAAAAGTTTAATTTCAGTATGGAGGAACAGAGATTGTGTTTAGACCATTATTTTGAGCAATGGTTTGTGGGGAATAAAAGAATGTTCATTAAATTAAGTAAAAGCACTAAGCAGTATCAGGGGCCCAGCAAATCATATACTTGTAATATTGACCATCAATACTGCTGTAAGATTTCTGTAGCACTCACAGTTTAGCCAGAGAGTGAAGAATCCAAATAGGTAGGAAATCCAGGATTACAGATTAGAAGGACATGTGTGTGGCAGAAGGTTAAGGGGCTTTTGTTCTTTTTGTAACTATCCCCAACTTTTTAAAAATGTAATTGACAGGGGCGCCTGGGTGGCTCAGTGGGTTGGGGCCTCTGCCTTCCACTCAGGTCATGATCCCAGAGTCCTGGGATCGAGCCCCACATCGGGCTTTCTGCTCAGCAGGCAGCCTGCTTCCTCCTCTCTTCTTGCCTCTCTGCCTACTTATGATTGCTGTCTGTCAAATCAATAAAATCGAAAAAAAAAATATAGTTGACAAATTTGTATATATTTAAAGTGTATAATGTGATGATTTGAAATATATGTGTGTGTGTATGTATCCATTCCATGAAACTTGTTGCTATCAAGATGGGAGGAGTTGATTTCCTCCAGAAAGAAGTAAAAGAAGGAGAGGAAAGGAGATTAAAATAAAAATGGGCTGGCTAGCTCAGTCAGTGGAGCATTTGACTCTTGATCTCAGGATCCTGAGTTTGAGGCCCATGTTAGGCAAAGAGTTTACTTAAAAATTAAATTAAAATAAAATTTTAAAAAATGAAATAAAAATGGAAAGAATGATGGATTATCTACTAGTCTACTGGTCATGCAGTGAAGACAAGTTTCCCTGAGAAAGCAGCTCAAGCATGTGAAGAATATTCTGAAAACATTTTCCCGAGTTATTTGATACTCAGGGCATACGGCTCTCCAACGTTGTCAAAAACAGTTTGCCTAGCTGAGCCCCTCAATAACTATTTTAACTTGAGAAACAGAATTATTAACAGGTCCTTTGGGGATGCACATGCACAACTCCTGGGGGCACCATTCCCATCTTAATCTATCTTAACAGGCCCCTTGGAGTCATTCAAGTGGCAGCCCTGCAGGACCCACTCTTCCCACATAATTCCATAAGGGTCAACAAGGTATATCATCAGTTCTTTAAAGTGTGGTGGGTAAGATGGTGTAGAGAGACTGTCACTTCAGTCCTCCCAGGAAAAGAGTGCAAGATGAAGAGCCCTTAGAATTGCTTCTCATGGTGAAATAGCTCATTTGCCCAGCATTGCCCCTGTGAGGCAGTGAGTAACGTTGATATAATGTTAGGGGAAGCTAGAGGTTCCCAGCCCTGGGTGGGAATCATTTAAACCCACTTGCTCCTTGAGACTTTTGGAGCTCAATGGAAGTAGCTGGAATTCCTTTATGACTCTATCTTTAAACTGAGGTTCAGGTACTAAGCAAGTAAGACCTCTGACAGGTGATTCTTCATTGAAATACATGATAATAAGGGAAAACTTTTAAAGAAAAAAAAATCACCTGCAATTCCATTTTCCTCACATAAGTTTTAGGTTTTGCGTAAATGCTGTTTCTCCATTCCTTGCTTGCATACCTCATATATTTTACTTGGATGAAACATACTGTACATATTCATTGTGTATGAAAATTTAACATATCATGTTAGTCTTATTTTTAATAGTACAGAAATGTTAATGGATAACACTGATGTGGTTTTGAAAGCATTTAAATAAAATTTCTGGCTTCTTTTCATAAAATCAATAGTACAGATCTGTGGTCTCTGAAACAGTAGTCACTAGCCAGCCACACACGAGCATCTGAAATGTGACTAGTCCGAAATGAGATATGCTGCCAGTGTAAAGTACACACCGGATTTTGAAAAAAAGCATAAAATAGCTCATGAATAATTTTTATTGATGATACTTGAAATGATAATACTTTGGATATATTAATTAAAATATATTATTAAAATAAATTTCACTTGTTTCTTTTTACTTCTTTCAGTGTGGCTACTGGAAAATTTTAAATTACATATGTGGCTAACATTTTATATCAGACTGCACTGATATAGATTATAAAATTGGAACAGATACTAAAACTAGAATAAGGGGATGGTTAAATCATCTTTGGTATATTTACTAGGTACAGTATTACATGGCCTTGAAAATTACAAACCTATGGGTGATGTGGCCAAAAAATATATATGTAATATTATATTTAGGAAAGTATGATATAAAGTTATAGAAATTGTCTCAAAAAAAAACCTCAGAATTTTTCCTGTATGCTAATATGCTAACTAGCGATATGTTCAGGGGGTAAGATTACAAATGAAGTTTTCTTTGTTTTCAAATTTAAAAGAATACCTTTATAATCTTTATCACACTGAAATTTATTTATTTGTTTATTTTTTTAAAGATTTTATTTATTCATTTGACACAGAGAGACAGATCACAAGTAGGCAAAGAGGCAGTCAGAGAGACGGGGAACCAGGCTCCCCACTGAACAGAGAGCCTGATGTGGGGCTCAGTCCCAGGACCCCGAGATCATGACCTGAGCCGAAGGCAGAGGCTTAACCCACTGAGCCACCCAGGCATCCCCACACTGAAATTTATTAAGCCATAAATCTTATTTTTTATTAAAAAAAAAAAATCACTGGGTAACAGTGACTCATAGACTTAGATCAAGATAAATAAGGAGAGTGGTAAAATTAGGGTTCTCAGAGTGGTACTGTGGAGAAAAGAGCAAGCCAATTAACTCCATTTCACATCCTCTCCCCCTGTTCAGTGGGAATGAAAGAAAGCAAAAACGCCAACGGCAGGATGACTGATAATATATGTTGTGTTTATAAAGAGATGAAAGAATGAAGGAGGAACATTTACATCTTTTACCACCTTGTAAAGAAAAGGATTAGAAAACTGAATCTAAGATCTTTTAAAAAGAATTAAAGGTGTGAAAATGACTTACTGTGTTTAAATGCTTGATCTTGGTAATTTTTTTTTCATTCATAGATTCATGGAGTTGCTAGCTAAAGTTGAGAAATCATCAGAAGAAATCATGGAAATAATGCAAAACTTAAGCAGTCTACAGGTTAGCTTTTTTTTTTTCCCCCCTTTGGGGCATATAATTTTTCGTATGTCTGTTACCCCACTTGAAAAATGAAAATAGGAAAGAAGCCCCAGCTTGGAGAATTCAATCCAGAAATGAGTTCGCAGGGAATATGTCTAATTTCCTTTTCATGGGAATTTTTCTTATAGGAACATGAATTAACCATAATATTTTAGTAATATGTGACTTTTTCACATTTTAAAGCTTGCAGTACTTGACCTGCCAGAAAAAATTAAATTTCCCACCAAGTTTAAGCTTTTCAGATGAAAGAAACCATAAACTGTATTTTCACTAGACTTGTCAGTAATATTATATTTGTAGAGAACTTAACTCATTTAAGATGTCTTTTTTTTTTTAGGCTTTGGAGGGCAGTAGAGAGCTTGAAAATCTCCTTGGTGTCTCACATGCATCATGTTTCTTACAAAGAGAAATGCAGAAAACGAAAGAACTAAGTAAGAAAAATTCATGAGTTTTCAATGGTATTTCTCCATTCCTTATTTGTAAATGTAAATATATATGCTAATGCTTTCAGTTTTAGAGATAAACCTAATTTTCCCAAATTTAAATCTGATAGACTTTTTTATATATGGCATTACTGAACATGTAATGGAAATATTATTTAGAGAATAAGAAGCCATATATATATATCTTTTGCCACGATATGTTACTTTAGGGATTCTTGTTGAATATGAAGGAAAAGAATATGCCTTGCAAACTGATAACCAGACTTTTAAAAAATCTGGTGCTTATTCTTTAAATATAGGATATAATAAGGTATTGCATTTTATACTTGATACCTGTATATATTACTTCAAATTATTTTTTTCTCATGAAGTTATCCCAGGATAAGAAATTATTCATATGCCATGCTAATTCTTAACATGAGGGGTTTTTTTTGTTGGTTTTTTGTTTTTGTTTTTGTTTTTTTGGTTTTGGGGTTTTTGTTTGTTTTTTAGTGATAAAAGTAACAGAACCAAAACTGTTTGAAAAGAAGAGTTCAGGACTTCCCAACAAAGGTAAAGAATTGTGTTTTCATTTATATAAAAACATCCTTTCATCTCATTTCATCATCGAAAACCGGTCATCATGAGTCCTTTTTTAGTGTGATCTTTTTAAAAGATCATAAATCTCATTTGCAAACCTTATACTGAATTTGACAGACCATGTCTGATAAGATAACTTCCCTGATGATTAAACTTTTAAAATAACTTTTGAAATACAGTTTTCAGTGTAAGATTTAAATTTTGTCTTTTTATTAAAAGTTCTTGAGAATATAGACAAATAGGGAGAACAAAGCATTAATATTTAGCAACTTTTAATGGTGAATTAGGATTACACAGAGCATAAAAAGTTACTTTGTAACCAGTGTTCTGAAAACTTTCAGATCATTAATGATGTTTGATCTACTGTGAACTCATATGCCTCTGAGCATTTCACAGTATGGGAAACTAAATTAGCAGGTTTTCGCATAACACATGCACATCCATACCTCAGTAAGCAAAATGGTCATGGACTATAAACTATTAAAACCTTTAGACCAACTTAAGAGAGATCATTTTAGTATTACTGACATGAATGCCATTTTGCAATCTCTGCAAGTGGAGGTTGGCCTTTAAACGGGTAGCCATGTTTTAGTCTACCATTTTTGAGTTACCAATGACTACCATTTATAGTAATGGACCAGTAATTACTATGTACTAGGATCAGCGAGCAGATCTTTGTAGCAACTCTGCAAGATATCGTTGTCATTATAGATAAGGAACGAAGACAAAAAATGTTAAGTAACTTGCCCAAAGACACTACTACTTAAGTGTCAGAGCGGAGATTGCAACTAAAGACCAGTCTAACCTCAAGTAGTGTGGTTTTTCTCATTGCTCCATGTTCCCTCGTCCTACAACAAATGAAATCGTCTAGTCATCCCAGTGTTTAGAGTCAAACATATGAGGCATAACTGAAACCACTTCAGCCAGTGTAGTATATTAGACTGTATTTAGGATCTTTTACAAGCCAGTGATGAATTTGCACTGGAAAGTGCTGGGATTCCCTGTTACTTCCGAAGGCCACCTGGGTAATGCAGGGCACTAGCTAGCCCTGGCAGGATTCCTCCAAGGCTCATGTGGGAAGAGAGCTGAGCAGGTTTCCTGAGCCATTCAGTAGAGCAGCTAACTTTCACTATGATCCCAAGAATTTAAGACTATGAAGTTAGCTTTTAGGAAAGGCTTAAGATCTCTTCTATACTGTGAAACTGGCTTATAATGTGTAGCTGGGTTTCAGTCTCTTTTAACTTGACAAGTTTTAGAGGATCATAAGGGGAAATTAAAATGTTTACTATTTCCAAAGCAGAGGAAATCTTTCTTCTATATATTATGTGCCGATGGTGTGAATTTTTTTCAGTCTGTAATTTCCTAGAATTGACTAGAATTAGGCTTTACAGAGTTGGCTTTCACTAAATTTTGAGAAATAAGGGAGGGAAAATTGTAGAATAAATAAGTGAATTGTCACTTTAATAATGAGAAAAAGTTTTCCAAAAGTATTGTTGCCTTCCCTAAATATTTATTAAGATGTTGAAGTTATATTCCGCGTGTTAAAAATTATCTCCCTTCAGTTACCTAGTATATACCAATCCTTTGTGTGTTTATGCATGACCAGCCTCAAAACTATTTTCTAGTATTTTAGGCATTGGAACTGACTTGCCCATTACCAAGTTTTCCCTAAGGACTGTTTGTTCAGGCATAAAGGAGACTACTATGACTAAATCATGTTTTAAAATGTCTAATTAGGGGCGCCTGGGTGGCTCAGTGGGTTGGGCCGCTGCCTTCGGCTCAGGTCATGATCTCAGGGTCCTGGAATCGAGTCCCACATCGGGCTCTCTGCTCAGCAAGAAGCCTGCTTCCTCCTCTATCTCTCTCTCTGCCTGCCTCTCCGTCTACTTGTGATCTCTCTCTGTCAAATAAATAAATAAAATCTTTAAAAAAAAATAAATAAAATAAAATGTCTAATTAGCACTGATTATTTGTTGTGGTTTAAATGAAAACTGAGGGGCGCCTGGGTGGCTCACTTGGTTGGGCGGCTGCCTTTGGCTCAGGTCATGGTTCCATAGTCTTAGGATCAAGCCCCACATCCTGCTCCCTGCTCAGCGGAGAGCCTGCTTCTCTCTCTCCCTCTGACTGCCACTGTGCTTACTTGTGCTATCTCTCTGCCAAATAAATAAATAAAATCTTTGAAAAAAAAATTTAAATGAAAACTGAATTTAGATAAATAAAATGTATAATAGCTATAAAAATATATAGTAGAATATATGTCATCTTCCATTTCTGTATCTTGGCAAGAGCTGCATTAGCTTTTATATTTCCCGAGGTGTTCAGATCTTCATTCGCTTTTCAACTAATTTTTTTTTTAAAGATTTTATTTATTCATTTGACAGAGATCACAAGTAGGCAGAGAGGCAGGCAGAGAGAGAGGGGGAAGCAAGCTCCCTGCCCAGCAGAGAGCCTGATGTGGGGCTCGATCCCAGGACCCTGGGATTATGATCTGAGCTGAAGGCAGACGCTTTAACCCACTGAGCCACCCAGGTGCCCCTTTTCAAATAATTTTTTTAAAGTGCTGTTGCCTGAAAAATCTTTTGAAGCTTACTTCCTTTATAATTTGAGTTTGAGTGTTTTTACTGAGTGTTTTCCCCTCTTCTCTCTCTGGTTCATAATATATGTATTTTTTTATTTTGGTGATTTTGCTTTGTTTTTTATTAAAGATGAGTATATCAACACATTTATACACATATAATTTTTTTTGCTGAGTTCATGACTTTCAACCTTTTTTATTTATACATTCATTTTACAAGGACTTTGCTAGTATTTTTGACATCTCAAACTAATTTGCTTTGTATGTTCCTTATTTGGGGATCCAACCTTCAACTTTTTATAGAAATTTCTCCTTTACTTCTTTCTTTTACTATGCTATTATCCAGAATTGGTTAAAATTTAAAATGTTTGGGGAATCTTTAATATTAGAAATTATATAATATAAAAATAACTCCCATAATATGTATGAGATTTGTTTTATTAGGTACTTAATGAAAATAACAAATTACTTGTTTCATGATCAAAACAATGTCCTTCAGATTCTCATAAAATTTTCCTAGAATAGTTAAAGTAGACAGTATCAGGAAAATTCCAACATTTATGCTGTTGCTGCCTCTTCATGTCGGTCCTCTAGTTCTATTTATTTTTCCATGTCACTGCTAGCTTCTTTTAGCATCAGTTGTAGTCTTTATTACCAGCAGAGCAGTAAAACTGTGAAAATAACATGCTAGTGTTTTAAATAAATAGACATCTGACACACATTCTTAAGTTTTTATGTAATATTCAGGGGACATTAAAACGTATACAATAACTTGAAAAGGTACACTGAGATTTACATAGTTTTAAAAAGAACTGGACATCGCAAATCAGGGAATGCTTTGATAGAGTATATGAATAAAAGAGGCTCTCCCCTGCTAAGTACAAATTTCTTAAACAAAGGAAGGCTTTCTCTCTTTTTTTTCAGTTACTTAGGAAGTAAGCCTAACTTCACTTTCCTTAATAATATTGGCTTTATGACTCTTAGAAAAATAATGAGATGAAAGGTCCTTTTTCTGTTAGATTTAGATGTGAATTTTCATAATTATTCTTAATTTGTTATGCTGAAGATTTAAAACATGACCATTCAATGGGTTGATACAGATGGAATGTCACATTATCATCACATGGTAAGGCATGAAATTTATTTACTTTACATAATCAACCTCTACTTAAAACAACTTGATACAAATATTCCTAAGTCAATAGATGGCATTATATAGTACTTAGTATTTTCGTTTTTTTCTAGAAATATTAAAAAATACCATCATTGTTTGCCTATGACCAGTACTTCCAGTAAACAAAATGTTTTTGAAAAGAATGTAAGCAAATTGTAGAACAGTTGCCAAGATATGCAATCTAGACACTTAGCTTTAGTCCAAAACATATTTTATCTGTTTTGAGAATAATTGTGTAGGTTGCAGTATGCATATTTGAAATGAAATGTAACCATCTGAACTTTACATTGTTCAAAAAAGTTGATTGTCTCAGCTGTTTGTAATACAAAATATTTCAGAATTTCTAGCTGTGGCCTTCAAAAGAAAAGCACAAACTATAACATTTCTGCTTTCTTTAGCTACCTTACTGTCTTACATTGTAAAATACATCTGGGTCATAGGATTTTAAGTTTTCAGATTCTTGGACTACAGGACAAATTTTAAACTCTTTTTGTTTTAAGACTATAAAATAGTTTGATATTGCCTTTTCATTCTAACCACCCACGGAAGTATTTTTTAACTTAAAAATATGTTGTTCTTTCCGCCACTCAATCTTGAAAAAGTATTTATCATATCGGCCAAATAATTTTACTCCCTAGAAAACTACTACCCTTTTTGTTTTTTATATCTTAACATTAAACAGTATCATTTTTTAAATACTTCAGTTTTAAAAGCACTGAAGTTTGAAGTCAAGACATGAGTTTTAGAAGGAACAACAAAAATTCCTTCCTGTGCCTTAATGTTCTTGGTTTATCTGGAGATTTAAACAAAAAAAAAAAAAAGGAGATACTAGTTTTGGTGACCGAGATCTACATTAATGTACAACTATAGTCCTTACTCTTTCTGAGAATTCACCTACCATGTATGTTGTACGTGGTTCGTACCTTTCCTATTAATAATGTTAATGCCCTTGTCTTACACTATTCATCACTGTTTTGGGGATATATTTTGACTGCTTACTTGAGATTTGTCTAGGATTTAAGAAAAAACAAACTGATCTATTACTTTTCAAAGCCTTTTAAATAATTTCTTCCGCAATTTGAATTTTTGTATACCTCTTTAGAAGTATGATCATTTTTATCTTTTAAATAATCAGTTTAAAAAAATTAAACCATAGATTTGAACTCACTTAATAGCAATTATGTATTTAAGAGGTGTAAATAACTTGCTATCAGACATTACGAATATCCAGGTGCTCTGTATGTGCTGATGACAACAAAATTGAAATGAAAGACTGTAATAATTCTGACTGGTTTTCTCTGCAGAAGATATTGATTATTTGTGTGTGGTGAGAGATTTGGAAAATTCAATTAAAGGAGTTGTGCAAAGGTTTCATAAATTTTCCTTCTACAGCATGTACACAGACATTGTTGCGTATTAAATCAATGCAGCACTTCACAATATATTTTCTTTGAAACATAAAAATAAATAACATTTAAACAGTTCTGCTTACTACAGAAACAAATTTTATTTTCTGTGAAGCATTTAGTCATGTGCTATCACTGACTCATACACATTTGCCAGCTGTAACAAATTTTATAGACATTTTCTCCAGAGACATATCTCACATACTATGAATTTTTAAATGAGCAAATGGTGAAGAAGGGATGTCAGCAATATAAAAATTGATCAGTTAAAAGATAAAAGCATAAGTAAAGAGATTTGTATGGTAGTCTTAATAGGTTTTATTAAATAAAAATACTATAAAAAGACAGTAATGAACAGACTGAAGACTAACCATTCTTGAGGTGGAGAAAAATTATTCTGGCACATTTAGTAGAAATTGGTTTTATGTCACCTGACAGGTGAACATTTTTTTTCTCCATTTTAACTCTTAGAGTAGTCAGAAATGCTCCTCAGAAAAGAGTTAGATAAATTTTCTAAGTGGTTTATGTATTAAACACATATATAAAATAATATAGCAGGTATTTATGGTGTCATATAGCTAATTATATAGTTAAAAGCAGGACTTCTGTAAAAAGTATTAGGTGATTTTTCCTCCAGCTCAGACCTCATACAGGAGGAAAGGCATTTGAATGCATATGTTCCCACCATGTGACTTCAGCCCTCTGGAATCTCTCTCTTTGTGAACTCCAGGCCTCTACTGCTTCTCTCTCTACATTGATTGCTCTTTCTTCCATCTCTGTCTAGTAAATTCCTGCTCATTCTTTAAGGTCAGCTTCAGATGTCACATCCTCTGTGTAACTTTCTCCAGCTTGCCTAGGTAAAGCTAACTTGCTTCTTCTGGCCTTCTACATCACTTGTCTAAATGTTTATAAATGTATTATGCTGTAGTATTGTAGTGTATTGTAATTGTCCAGTTACAGGGCTCCTGGGCTCCTCCTCGGCAAACAAACAAAGCTTGTATCTCTGTATTATAGCCCCAGAGCCTAGTATATAACCTGATAGAAGGCCCACAATGCGTGTTCAATGAATGAGTAAAAATAAATGCCACTCTAAGAATTTTCTGAAGGAATTTAAATATTTTCAAATACTTATAAATCATGATCTCCTTTGAGGCACCTGGGTGGCTCAGTGGTTTAGGCCACTGCCTTCAGCTCAGGTCATGATCTCAGGGTCCTGGGATCGAGCCCCACATCAGGCTCTCTGCTCGGCCGGGAGCCTGCTCCCCCACCCCGCCCTGCCTGACTCTCTGCCTACTTGTGATCTCTCTCTCTTTGTCAAATAAATAAATAAATTTTTTTTAAAAATTATGATCTCCTTATATGCCTCATCCATTTAATATTTACTGAATGCCTATGATGAGCCAGGCCCTTTTCTAGCACTGGGGATACAGTAATGAACAAGGCAAACATAGATAGTCCTGCCCTCGGGATTGTAGAATCTGTCACAAAAGACAAATAATTTTAACAAAGCATAAGCATACATTATAATAATAAGTCTTTTTGGCACTTTTTATCCTAAATTCTTAAATGTACATTCTGAAAGAGAATTGGGCAAATTGGTAAGATGTTGAAATGAGAATTTATAACCCCAAAGCTATTTGTAATGTAAAATAAAGGTCTAGGTTCTTTAATTTCATTTAGCATTTATTCTGCATCATATACTGTGACAACTTACTTTGAACTGTTTTCTGAAAAAAATATTTTTTTCTTATAGGATTGTATCATCTTGACAGCTATGAATTCCTAAAGGGCATTTTAAACAAAGGTAGGCTTTCACCATTCTAATTAAGGTTAGCATTGTTAAATTTCACTGTTTTGTTCAGATGGAAACATTTTATTTATATTATCAAATTTGATACTGTCTATGAAGAAAATAAGGACATGAGCTTTGGAGGTGTTTTTGAAATTATATTTAATCTATTTTTATAAATAATAGGATAATCTGACAAGATGTGTGAATGAGAGGCTGATTAAAAAGAACTGTAGAGCTCATCAGCCTAGCTTTAAAAGTGAAAAAGCACATATATTTAGGTGAGTGTATAGAGGGCTCTTAATTTAGCACCTTTAATATAAATAACTAATTAGGTACTGACAGGTGGGTTATAGTTTCTGTAGGACACATGTAACTGAATGAGATACAACAAGTCTATGAATTTGGAAATTTGCTGAATTAAGTAAATAATTATATATTAATTAGTTGTATCTTTCTTTCAAAACAGTTCCCTATAGATTCAGCAATATAAGTAAAAATGATAAATTTATAACATATTAGCTAGAAGCAGTATGAGTCATAATGTGATATTAGTGTCTAATGTGCCTGTAACTGAAGGTTTGCATTAAGAACTAGCCTATCCCAGACTTAGTGGCAGCGATATTCCAATTAAGATTCTTAGACGCTAACCACATGTTGCCTGCTATCTCTTAGAAACAAATTATGGCAAAATAAATTCTATACTGAAAATACATTTCTTTGGAAATGGTATTTCAAATGATTAGTATTAGCTTCCTAACTAGCAGTTTTCAAAATATTTGCAAAGCATCTTATGTACAAAATTGTGTCACTTTTCATTCATTATAATGTTTATTCTGTTGTACACAACAAATAATAGTTTATAATAATAACTGACACTTACTAAGCACTGCCAGCGTGCCAGGTACTACTACAGGCACTTTATACAGATTACACTCAACCTTTTCAACAATGTATGTGATATACAGTTATTGTCTTTATTTTATAGGTGAGGAAACTGAGGCACAAAGAGGTTAATAACCTTGTCCTAGAATTACCTCAGAAACAGAGCCAGGAGGCTAACCTGAGTAGGCTGGTATCAGAGCCTTTGCTTTGCCCACTCACAATAGTAAACTATGATTGTCAGGCTTCACTGCCAGGCAAAGGTTTTAGTTCCTATGAAATAGTAAGGATCTAATATATATACATATACACATGTACTCATCATAGGGTTAAACATTTTGTGGAAAATTTCTAGTCCATGGCAGTCCACAGACAACTATTAGATGGCTATCATAAATACATAGTTACTGTTATACATCTGGCTAATAACATACACATTTAGTATATGATGGTCTCATTTATGAACTTTGGAGAACTTAGAGTACTGAGAATAGCTTTGTGTTCCTGGATTCTAATAAAAATTAGAATGTCAGGGGTGTTATTCTGAGTCTTTAATATGAGTAGTGCTTACAAAAAACTTGCATGAATGAAGGTTGACCCACCACTCAGCTTCCCTTTTTGTGGAAAGCAGTAGAGAGAAACAATGAAATGAAATTGGACTAAACCTTTGAGGCATTTCTCTGGGTTCATTTGACTGTGTTTTCTTATTTTGGGCACTTTCTTCATGATCTCACCCATTCCTTGACTTTAGTTCTTATCTTAGTGGAACTTATAGTTTCCAAATAGATTTTGACCTTCTTCCTGAGCTATAAACCCACAATCTCAGCTGCCATATATTGTTCCCCAAGAACATTGATTTCATCATTTCCCCCCCAAATTCTAACTCATTCTACTTTTGTAGGGATTACATTCATCCATTGATAAGGCTTACAACCTCAAAATTCTGTCCCTTTTTTGTGCCCGCATGTGCACCTGCTGCCAGGTCAGCTCCCTTCTAAAAATGTTTACCTCTCCCTTCCATGCCCCCTGCAGTTGTTTATTCCTCCATGACCTCTCATCCAGATTATCCTCCCCACTGTAACCTGCCTCTGCTCATTGGTCCTTTTTCCCTACAGCCTGTCCTGCTATTGGACAAATTATGCTTAAGAAGATATCACTCTACCATATTCACAGTAAAATCCAAATTTATACTTTATCCTCCCCATTGTAACCTGCCTCTCTGCCCCTCGGTCCCTTATCCCTACAGCCTGTCCTGCTACTGTACAAATTATGCTTAAGAAGATATCACTCTATCATATTCACAGTAAAATCCAAATTTATACTAACATTCAGAACTCTTCCTAATGTGACCACAGCTTACCTTGTCCTTGGTCCTTAGTCTCTCCGGATTATGTACCATTCTCCAGACACATTCCTCAGAGAGAAACTTTCTCATTCCCTTATCTTTGTTCTTGTCTTTCCTCTGCTTAACATGTTTTCCCCCATCATTGTAAAAAATTTATCCATCTTTCAAAACCTGCTTATGACTCACCTTGCATTAGACTTCTTCAGATCCTTCTGTTCCATGTTCTCTCATTGTTCCTTTTTTGTGCATTTGTCATAGCTGTCCAACTGGTATGACTAAGGGAGGGTATTAAACTCTGATTTTGTCCTGTGCTCTAAAAACCTCTGACAAGCACAGTACTCCTAATACCATTGTGGCCAACTTCCCCATCTACGTCAGTTCCTGTCCTCTTATCACACCTAAGTGATTATTCCTCCTGACCTTTATTGTCCAGGGGGGAGAAATACCCCAGATTCACTCCCAGAGCCTTTAACAAGCAAAGCCATTATAAAATAATGTTAGAATAAGAGAGAGTGTGAGTAAGAGAGGCAGCAACCTGTAGGCCACAGACAGGACAAAGACCAGCAAAGGACTGGAGGGAGCATGGTAGGCTAATATTAACAGGGGATACTGCAGGAGATACTGGGGTAATATATCTAGAAACAACTGGGTAAATAATTTGGTTAACAAAAGTATGAGGCTTAGTATAAACATAGCACTTGTATTATGCCAACCTTTTAAACCTAGTGATCAAGCTAAAGATCTAAGATTTATATTCTATACATGAAATGATAATAAGGCAAGCTATGATAAGCAATACAAGTTCAGACCCCTCTTCTTTCTAGGATTCTGGGCAATAGCAAGCACAAAAAAGGGTGAGTCCATTTAGGATCAAAGTGTCAACTTGATTAGTGGAGAAATTGATAAATTCCAACATGGCAGGCCCTCTGGCAGAAGCTTAGGGTAACTAATACGGAGTGGGCCTCAGGCAGAAGTGGAACCTTCTCTCTCCCACACTAAGTCTAAATCTTGAACCCTGTGAATCTCAATCTTGAACCCGAGGAGAAAGCTGGATCTTTGAAGTAAACTCCATGTCCACATGACATTGATCACAGTATTTGTTTTTGGTGGATCCTGAATTTGGCATTAGAATCTTTCTCAACACACTTCTAGCAGCCCTGATCAACTGATGAAACTCTTTTGCATGGTCTGGCATTATAACAGAGGAGAGGATTTGGATTACACGTCCAGCACCAGCTCTGTTATCTACTTAGCTCTGTGGCCTTAACAAGGCACTTGGTTCCCCTAAACCTTAATTATAAAATGGGACTGATATTTACCTTATGGGATTGTACAAAATGAGCTTAACTAGCACCTCCCCCATAGTAACTAATGATCGTCTTACTCTCCTGTATAATATTGTCATTAGGTCTGATAACTGTGTATCAGTAACTTATAGGGATATTAAGTGAACACTAGAGTGCTTAAAATCTTCCACAGGAATTCAGAGCAAACTCAAATTGGCAAGCATTGGTGGTAGTCAAGTTGGCAACTTACCTTCTTCTAGGACAAGAATATATGTGGACTCGCATGAGTAGGGAAATATAGGAGCCTACCATGCATTACTTCTTAATAGCTGCCAGTGTAAGCATGGAAAGGGTATTTCAGGAGTGAAAGGTCCATGTACCCTATGGGAAATATGCCATCATTTGCCAATGGCTGAAGGCTTCCTCTCACAGAGGTCCTAAACCAAACGGCAAGAACTTCTGCCACCACTAGGAGGCCCCAGAGGGACATACTCTGAATAGGAATGCCAGTAAATATGGTCTCTTTTTTGGGGGGGCAGCTGTTGGAGGAAACACCTGCTGAAAGGCCCTGAAGGCTTATAGACAAAAGGCATGTAGATTTTGGTGTTTTCAGTAAGTAGATCATGTAGGAGTTTTAGAAATATCTGAGAAGTATCTCACGATCCATCTTCACATAAGGAGTGTGGTGTCTGAGTAAGCCCTATTGACAATTATTTGTGAAGCTGAATCTTGTTAGAAGACCCAAAATTAAGCAAATGAGAGATTACCAGTATCTAAACAAGGTACCAGATTACCTGGTAAATGGGTGTTTAAATCATTTAAGTAGTGTATGAGATGCATGTTAATGTGGAATCTAATTCTTGATTTAATAATCATCTTTTATATCCTACAGGCATTTAAAAGAAATGCACTTACTATGAACACCAACTTCTGCATCTGCCTGATCATATTTAAAGGAACAGAAGAAATGTTTGTAATTAATCTGCCCAGTAAATACCAGATCATAGCACTAGGCAGGTGCAGGTCTAGATAAAATTTCTTGCAGCTAATTTAAACTTTTTACACACACCAGTAGATAATCTCAATGTAAATAATACATTTCTTCTTGACCCTTTAATGTAAGCCAACATGTAGAAGAGGATATTAACTTCTTTTCTCTATCACATACACTTCTGTATACTTTTAGCATTTGTGGATAGGGTTTTTGGGGTTTTTTTTTTTTTTTTGTAGTTGATTGTGGATAGATTTTGAAAGCATTTATGAAAATGGCACTTTAATAAAACTATGTTTTAAAACTCAGATTAAATTTAATGGCAAATGGAATTAGGTAACATTTTTCCATGGAAGACCCCAAATGAGTATTAGATTCTTTTTAAACTTTTTTTTTTTTTTCTTTTTAAACTTTTAAATTTTTTCTAAAAGTTTATTGTGTAGCCACTATCTCAGGGGTGAGTTTTTATCCTCTAAGTTATTTCTACGCTTATACCGAAGAACTATTTTCCAAGTTTTAAAATTTTCACACCTCCTTTTATAAAATTGTGGAATGTATTTTTCAGTACAAGTTGTTCATAAACTGAGCTGCAGACTCTACTGAATTTAAAGAAAAGATCTTTTTTATGGGGCATGTAATCACCTCCAAATTATTTTGAAGCATTAATTTCAATTTCTGTTTTTCTGTGGTGTTATTTTGTATCATCCTCATACTATCACAAAATAAAGGGGAAGTAGGAATCACAGGATGTGTTATAAATTGATAACTTTTTTTTTTTAAGAGATTTTATTTACTTATTTGACAGAGAGAGAGAGATCACACGTAGGCAGAGAGGCAGGCAGAGAGAGAGGGGGAAGCAGGCTCCCCACTGAGCAGAGAGCCTGATGCGGGACTCGATCCCAGGACCCTGAGATCATGACCTGAGCCATAGGCAGCGGCTTAACCTACTGAGCCACCCAGGCGCCCCTGATAACTTTTTTTTTTTAAGACCTCTGTATTTTTCTTTGACCATTTCTACAGGGAAAAAAATGCTACTCCCTTGGTACTTGCCCTAAGTCTTGACAAAATTTGTACATTATTGTATCATGTAAATAAAAATACTATATGAAAATCTGAAACAAAATTTAACTTAAGTTTGAAAATAACTGATCTTCCATTTAGAGAAACTTCAGATTTACCTCTTAAAATGAAAATGAGTTTTTAAAAACTATTAAATGACATGTATAGTAAATAGTAACCCCAAGTAACTATTAAACCTAATTCCCTTCAGTAATGATTTTATTGGTACTATTTAAATAAGATTTTAAAGGGGCGCCTGGGTGGCTCAGTGGGTTAAAGCCTCTGCCTTCGGCTCAGGTCATGATCTCAGGATCCTGGGATCAAGCCCCGCATCGGGCTCTCTGCTCAGCGGGGAGCCTGCTTCCTCCTCTCTCTCTGCCTGCTTCTCTGCCTACTTGTGATCTCTGTCTGTCAAATAAATAAAATTTTAAATAAATAAGATTTTAAAGATAATCAGTCTGCTAAATATTAAGAACACTTTATGATACAGTCCTTCTAATAGGACATTACCTAAGTATACCAAAAAGGATAATTCCTTTGTGTTCTAGCATTGCAAACTAACCTTAGGATATAAGCCAAAGCATATAAAGAAACTTATATTAGTCGGGAAATAAAGGGTTAAGAAGTAGATTGGTTGCATATGTAATGCAAGTTATGTAGGTATGTGCTTAATGCTATTATGTCAGTTACTGTATGTTTGACCTCGATACACTAAGCTTTTGCCTTTCAGAACAGCTGGGTCTGCTAAGAATCATTTCCCAGTTCTCTTCATTGTAGATCAGATGACTCTCGCTTTATCACCCTTGGAGGCCACATGAAGGACAAAGCAGAAAGATCCACAGACAAAACTAATGTTTATATGGGGGGAAGGGGGGTGCGTCATGGAGGAAGGCGGGGGGATACACTTGGCCCTGATCTTCCAATGAACATAACAGAAGAGAGACCAATTGAGACTTGAAACCCCTGTGTTACTCCAACCATTATTTAGTTACATCCTATCCATCTTTTACTCCTTCTATTGAACAGAGAGGCTCCTTTGGCTGCCTTGACTTTTGTAAATGTTTCACTCACTTAGTTGTGGTTTATCATTTGGACAGAATGCTACATCTGGGATTTTTCTCCCCTCCTTAACGCCTCAAGGGAAAACGGCTTCTGTATGCTTCATATTTGATACATGAACATACACCCTGTTCTCTTCATTTTAAGAAGCAAGCCTAAGTTTATTGGTAACAGAGAAAACTGTATTTTTCAGACACAGCCCTTCCCTCTAAAATGAACTTGAACATAACTTAGAAGGGTTCGTTTCCTAACAGGTATATTGGTGAAGTAACTGAGAAATCTTCAGCATGCTTGCATTACTTAAATATATTAAAACATCCCAATAACCCTGAGTATAGCTGAGAGAAGTACTTTGGAATTCCTATTTCTGTGATCATAATTCATCAATGGACATTTTTGGTATTCTGGAACCTAATCCTTTGAAGTTCAAAGTGGACTCTTCTTAAATTGGTTTCTAATGGATATAAGAGATACTTGACTTATAATTGCTGCATGTCTCCATAAAAGCTACAAAGTTACACGACATGATTAAATTATGTAAATTATTAATTATCTAAATTATCTAAAATGTGTATTTAGAGGATTTATCTATAAGATACCTTGAATATGGGTACATTCTATTTTATTAATATTTATATAATATGCTTTTATTTTCAAATAATGTTTCTCTGCTCGTTATTTAGAAGTGAGAACTTCCTCATCACGGATTTAAATCAACATCCTTTGTTAAACCCATGTATGCTATTACAAAAATAAAAACTAAAAAAATAGGAGTACACCAGCCAGCCAAGATGCTGACATTTGGGCACAGTGATTACAGATGGTGACCATGGACAGCGATGTTCCTGCTGATTCGGCAGTGATTCAAGGCTGCTTTTCTGTGCTGACCTGCCCTTTGAGTCCATTTGCTTTGAGAAAGAAATACTTCCTGATTTTTGCTTTGTCTAAACCTACTTCCTTTATCAGACGTAGAAGCATATACTTTCTTGCAGCCTGTCCGTGTCTAGAACCAGATTTTCTTTGTGTCTATGTGTTCAGTGTTTTAAAATATATCACCCCTTAGTCAAGGTACTTTAATGAATGGCTTACGAAAGAAATATATTCATTAAAAAAAAAAGGTTGATGTGAAAATAATTGTTTTATTCTTACCACAGAAACTGAAGAAAACACATCTTTTTTCCCCTGCCCTCCCAAAAGAACAATCTTTACATAAAAAAACTATAACATAGATAGGATATATTATTTTTACCAATTGAATATGATAGCAAAGATGAGCTTCTCCTAATATAGAATGATATGTTATTAACAGAGCCAAGTTAACATGAAACATGATATGAATCAATGCTTATGGAAGTGGTAATCTTGAACCACTCAAAAAAGATCAAAAGGATGAAATCCTGTATAAAACCATTTAACTTGAACAGAATGATCCTGGAAGTTTAGAACTAGTGATCATGAGTAATTAAAAAAAAAATCACTCAAACCACTTAAATTCAGTAAAATTCACCGTTTAATTACATTCAAGTAGATCAGCATTTTTGAAATAAGAATATGGTCTAATCTCTCTGCCTTGTTATAAAGAAATCAAATTTACACATGTAATAAGGCATGTTCAAACTTTAAGCCTATAAATTGCCTTCTCACAGTAATTAAAAAGATCATCACAAATTTAATCCCTGAGATATAATTTCTAAAGAATGAAATACACATTACTTGCATTCTAAAATGTAAGGAAAACTAAATTTAAATACCAAAATTAGTGATTTCCTTTAAAAAGAAGGGCTGGATTCTTCCAGTAAGCTCACTGGATTTGCAGATTTCTTAAGACAACAAATTGTAGAGGAACATTCCCTGAGTAAACACTGGGATTAAGGGCCTTTTCTCTTATTTTCCCACTTGGATAACTGAACATTAATAAAACTACAATGTCTTGACCACTCCACAGTTAGAAAATAAAAGCCTCCACTGGGCTTGGGTCCCCATATACATTTACTTTGTATATAGACAACAATGACTTTTTGCCATTTTTTCCCTATAATTTTCGTGATTCTCAAAATGATAATTTCATTTATATGTAGCAAAAAAGTTCAAAAAAAACTTTCAGCACTGTTAATATTTTCACGTTTATTTGTGGAAATAAAGCTAGTTGGTTTTCTTCTGATTTCTTCCATTTTTGGAATCCCACATGATTATAATGTTAAAATATACCAAGAAGAACAGGAAGTTCAAGCAGGATAAAAAACAAATCAATACAGAAAATAAGTCCGGTAATTTCTGAGGAGGTTCCAGTGTGACAGTTATCAGTGTCAGAAGTGCCATAGTGATGACTGAGATAAGAAACTATAAGAAGGGAAAAAAACATTATTGAGTAATATAAAAGACAGAATTTAAATGCACTGGTAACATTTACTTATAGCTGTAAGTGAGCAGAACTGAAGGTGAGGGGTAGGGGTCCAATCTCTTCTACTGGTGGATCTCACCCTAGGCCACATGTTAGAACCATCTGGGGGGTAGGTATAAAAACCTCAATGCCAGACCACACTTCAGACCAATTAAATCAGAGTTTCTGGGGTAGGTCCTAGGATTTAAAAGCTTACCAAGTGATTCCCTTGTATAGCCAAAGCCTCAGGATACCTTTCATACTTAATACCACCCACGTACTAACGAAAGTTACCTGGAATAGACAATATTGCTAGTCAGGGTTAAATTCAGGGTATGCTCCAGGACCTTGAGTTCCTATAGGATATAAAGTTCTAAGCTAATCTAAGAACCTGTCTATAAAAAAGCCTTCCATGGCAAATAGAAAATTATATTTCATATTCATGGAACACTTTCGATAGACTAATGCTGCAGTAAGTCAGGGTGGAGCATACGAAAGAAAATGTAATCTTGCCTCAAAGAGTTTTCAGTTTAATTAGGAAAATGGAAGAACTAATTAAATAAAATCACAAGGTCATATTTTATTAAATGCCAAAATGAGTAGTAAAGATACTTCATTGATTGTAATTGTGTAGCAGTTCAGTTTTCTTTAGTGTACTGTACAACAGAACTTTCTGCAATGATGGGAAAGTTCTATACCTGTGTACATCAAGAGAGTAACTGCTAACCACAC